CCCTCGGCAGTTCTTTCGTTGCTGTTCGGAGTGGTTTTCGCTGTGTGGATGCGCCTCCTGTGTTTATCCTCCGTTCCTTGACGGATGTTTGGGTGGTTGCCAGTTTCAAGGACTGTAGCTAAAAATACGCTGCAGACATCTGCGCGGGAGTCTTCTTGGGAGCGTTACGTTTTCCCCTCTTGTGAGTGGACGCCTGCGCGCGGACTGGGGGCCTTGTCGTGGGAGCACGTTCAGCTTGGCGGGACCCTGCCCGGCGGCGACGAGCCTGCGGCGCCGCCCGCCTCACTCGCTTGTGGACACAGGGCGGTCAGCTCTTCACCTGGCCTTTGCGGTGGGGGCGATGTGGCGCCTCTTCCCTCGAAGGCAAACCTGTGATGTGGCGCGTGTTCCAACCTGCTGGCTAGTCTTTGTAGGTTGTGTTCAGTGTCTGTTCCAACCGTTTGCACGTTTAAAACCTGAGTATTTGTCTTCTTTTCAGTGAATTGCAGGGCTTCCTAGGTATTCTGGATGCGAGCCGGCTGCTAGATACACGGAATGTTGTTACTAATGTTCGCCCCCAGGCGTGCCTTGTCTTCTTGTTTGCTTAATGGTGTCTTTTAAAGAGCAGATTGGGGGGGGGCGGGTATAGCTCGGTGGTAGAGTGCGCGCCCAGCATGTACGAGGTCCCAGGTCCAGCCCCCAGTACCTTCACCAAAAGTGAAAAATAAACCTAATTACCTCCACCCTAAACAATTAAAATAAGAATTAAATTAGAAAAATAACGAGTAGAGCGTTTAATTTTGGTCAAGTCCAGTCTATCCGTTTTTCCTGCCCTGAATATTGCTTGCTGTATCCTGAGAAGTATGTGCCCATCCCGAGTCTGGGGAAATTTTCTGCAATGTTTTCATCCCTAACAGCGCTGACCAGCAGACGTCTCTGATGACAAAGAAGTCGGGCCGTGTCTCTATCCTGTCCGACAGGCAGCCACCAGCTGCAGGTGAGCATGAGAAGTGTGGCTCGGAACTGACTGTTAACTTCACTTCAATTAATTTAAATGTAAATATGTGTAACTAATGGCTCCCCAAATGGACAACACAGATCTAGACGTTTTACAGACTTAACTTTTAAACTGAGGTTTGTCAGCTGGAAGAGAAAAGCACGATGTGCGAGTCCTGAGTTCAGCTTCACGTGCGGACGCGCTGAGGACTGCAGGCCCGGAGACAGCCCCGCAGGAGCTCTGGGCAAGCACTCCACAGAGGTGAAGGGCGGACGCCCGTGTGTGTGTGTGTGTGTGTGTGTGTGTGTGTGTGTGTGTGTGGTGTGTGTGTGTGTGTGTGTGTGTGTGTGTGTGTGTGTGTGTGGTTTTGGTGAAGAGGGTCCGAGCAGTCAAGCACGTGTCTCCGTAGAAGGACACCTGGAGCAGGTGTCTCTGTTAATGGTTTTAGTGCCTTTCTGGGTATGACAAGATGCAAGAAGTTGGGTTCACAAAGTTTTCTCTTGAAGTATTTATCTGCAGTCCTGTTCTTCCAGTTTTCCCAGAGCACAGAGTGCCTCATGCCAGATCTCTGCCCTGACCTCCTGTCAGGTGTGTTAAAGGTCACTGACCACTGGGTCCAGTGACTGCATTCTTGTAGAACCAGATGGTGAGCGGCTTTTTGGCTGCCAAGCGCATCGCCCATTTCTAATGTGTGTTTGTGAATGTGGATGCCCTGTGGGTACCCAGCTGTTCTTGCACAGTTGGTCCAAAGACTGTTCTTTCTCGAACTGGATTATGTGGACACCTCTGTTGAAAATCAGTTATCTACGTACATGTGGTCTTTTCCTGGACTTATTTGTCGCCTTTGATTTCCAAATCGCCTTCCCACCTCCCACTTAGCTTTTCTTTCTCAAAACTGATTTCCTGTTGAATGTCTCTTACATTTCTATATAGATTTTGAATCAGCTTCTCAATTTCTACAAAGTAAAAAGCCCATTGAGATTTTGATTTTGAGATCAACTTTGAGAATTTTCACCCTAGCAATGAGCTTTCCAGTCTATGAATATGGTATATCTTCCCCTTTCTTTAGATAATCTTTAATTTCTCCCAGCAGTGCTTTGTGGTTTTCAGTGTAAAGAACATGCAAATTTTCACTAAGTTACTTCTTAGATATTTTATGACTTTACTGTTACTGGAAGTGGGTGTTTTAAAATTTTTATTTACCGATTATTTGTTGCTAGTATGTAGAAGCACAGTTTATTTTTGTATGAAGTTAGTGTCCTGGAACCTTGCAAAGTTCACTTATTAATTCTAGTGTTTTGGGGTCGATTTTTTTAGAGCTTCCTGTGCTCACAATTGTGCTTCTGTGAATAGAGTCTTTCACGTCTTCCAGGTGACCTGAGCTGGGAAGCGAGGGTGGGGGGCTCACTCTCCCCTCTCCCATCTCCCCAGATCTTTGGGACTCACTGCCCCCCATCCTCCTGCCAGAAGAGCTTGTGGGGGAGGTGGTGAGGGCAGGACAGCCCTCTGCTGCTCCCTCACTATTTTCAAAGCATCCTAACCCTCCGGAGGGCCCTGGCAAGACCCAGCCACCACCTCTGCAGAGCTGGGGGAGCAGGCTCAGCTGGAGGAGGCGGGGTGTGCGGGCGAGCGGGTAGAGAGGAGGAAGGAGGCCCTTCTCAGAGCTGAGGGTAAACAAGCATGAACTCCACACCCCCTGCCTGTGCTAACAAAGACCCTGCCGCTTGCTCGGGTAAATCGCACCTCCACAAAGTTGAAGAGAAGAACAGGACTGTGCTCTTTAGAAAGCAAGCTGAAGACGCTCAGTGGGACCTCAGCTGGGCTACAAAGCTGCAGGGAGACACCACGGGGCCCCGGAAACCACATCCCGGACATGTGCGTGGAAACTGCTGTGTCTGGGAAACGCGGAGAGCAAACTGGTCTGTGATCACAGGATCACGTGCCGCCGCTCTGTTCAAGCCTGTGTGTGCGTGGTGCGTGTGCACACGGGCACGTGAGTGTGAGTGTGTAAAGAAACTGAAAGAGCTTGCCATCTCAGGTCCAGCCCATGCACACTCTCAGGTCAGTAGAGCTCCCTCCCTCTCCCCTCCCCTCCCCTTCCCCACCCCTCCCTCTCCCCTCCCCCTCTGGCCCTCCCTCTGCTCCCAGGTGCCTGCTTTCCTATCTCTCACCTGTTGATTTGTGTGTGTGTCACTTGTTGGTCCCCCCACCTCAGCCCCTCTTCAGCCCCAGGAGCACAGGGACTGTCCCTTTACCAGGTCCCAGGACCAGGACCAGAAGAGGGAGGCACATGGAAAAAGTGAGCAGGTGCTGCTCCAAGGCCAGGCCCTCAGGTGAGGGTGTCTCTGGTCGTTCTTGTCCTGAGTCACACTCCTGGCTTCTCTGCTCTGTAAACAAGGAACCATACAGACACCTTGGAAAGAGCCTCAGGCTGGCCGGGCGAGCGGCTGGCCGGCCACTGGGGGGCAGTGTGGCTCTGCCTGCAGCTGTGTGATGCGTGGCCTGGGGACGCCGAGGGGACTCCTGGGGTCCAGGCTGGCACCACTGCCCAAGGAGTGCGCGTCTGGGGAGTGTGGGCCAGGGCCAGCAGGCAGCCTCCACTTGCTCAGGCTTGGGACCGCCTGAGGATCCTGGGTTGGGGGCAGGCAAGTCACCCTCCCCACCGGGACAGGGGCCTGGCCCAGAGCAGCCCCAGGCCGTTCCTGACCTCCTCCCCTCAGCTGAGCCCTGCTGGTCCCAACTGCTGTCCCCTGCCGGCCAGGCCTGGGCTGAGCACGCCCCCCTCAGGTCTGTCTGACCTGACACAGGGCCTGCCCGCCCTGTTCCTGCCCCAGAAGAGAGCAGAACAGTTCCCAACGTGCCCACTGCTTTGCTTACTTTGGCACAAGACTTAGGGCAAGAGACGTGCTTTTTCTCCCAGCAAAACTGAGTGAAAGGATTCTCCCATGTTCTAAACATGCGCATTCACAACTGATACAGGAAAAATGGATGTGGGGTGAGGAGGGCCATGTCCCAGGTCTCGGTGGAGCCCTGGGACATGCCCCGCCGAGTGTGGGTCCTTGGCTGCACGTAGGAAAGAATTCAAGGAGGAGCCACAGGTGAGTAAAGGTAGGTGTATTCAGAGAGGCACACCCCCCCCAGACAGAGTGCAGGCTGTGTCCGAAGGCAAGCGCACGGCCACGCGCTGCGGGGCGGGTGCTCAGGGTAGCTGAAGGCAGGAGCACAGCCCGCACAGAGTGCGGGCATGCTCTGAGGACCAGGGAGCGAGAGAGGCGGTGAGGCGTGGTGTTGCCATTTCTCGTGGGCTCGGTAGCTTCACGTGCCAGCAAGCGGGCCGACCATTCCAGCCACTCTGGGGAAGAGGCTGGGATTCCCAGCAACTGGGCCATGCCCACGCTGACCGTTCGTGCCAGCCTCGGGGCGGCACGGCACCCATGGGTGTCATTTCCTGTGCTGCTGCATCACAGCGAGCAGACAGCGAAGCTCGAGTTCTGCCACAAGTCAGGTCTCCTGTCGCCTTAATCCTCAGGGCCTACTGGGGGTTGAATCGTCCACCATTTGGGTGTTAAGTGCTGTGACATTCCTTGACTGGCTGTGCCCTGCCCCCTTCCCTTCTGTCCCACAGCTTGAGTCTCCTGTCTTTGCCCCCAGGAGGAGCCAGCTCAGCGCTGGGTAAACCCTGGCTGCCTGTGACTGAGGCGGTGGAGCCTCCCTGGGGCCTGGGGCCCCATGTGGTTAGCTTTACTCTTTCTATCATTACTGACAAATTGATAGATGAACATTTTTGTTAGTGTTTGGGCTTTTTTCCTACTTTATTTTATTTTACTTTTAACCTGTTGTCCATATTTGCAGATCCTAGCATTGTGCCTTGTTTCCATTTTCAGCGGAGCACCCGGAGTCGCACCCCACCGCAGCCCTCCTCTTCCCCCCGGAGGCCCCGTTGTGAATTCGGGGTGTGTGCAACTACTCCGTGGGTCTGTGTTTCCCGAACGTTGCGCCCTGATGTTTGCCCTGTTTTAAATGTTCAGGTAAATGGCTCTGAAACTGGCTTATCTTTTCCTGCCTTTTCTGAAAGCAGAGTTGTTGAGATGGCTGCTGTCAGGACGTGACCACCAGGTGGCAGGCGGCTGCTGGCATCAGGCCCCGGTTCCACAGCTCCACAGGCAACTCTTGGCAGTGTCGACTGAAATAGACGCGCAGCCTTAAAGTTAAGAGTCATGTTCTGTTTGGCGGGAGGACTCGAGCCGGGGTGACGGCCTCTCAGGTGTCTCTGAGGGGCTGCTCCGAAGAGGTAGGGGAGGAGCTGGATGTATAGGGGCTTTACAACAAAGACCAGGTAGTCAGAACAATGAAAGATTACTTGTTACCTAAAGAGAATCAGGCACCTCAAGGTAAAGAATTTACCGCTGTTCTATGTATGGGAAGAAGCAAACACTTGGGCTCACTGAATTCATTCCCTCGACAAGCAGCTGGCTGTCTCGGGCCAGTGTCCTGTCCTTTCTTACTCCGAGTCCGCTCAGAGGGCACATTGTGAGTGGCTGCAGAGGCCGGGCTGCAGGCCTGTCCCCACTGGGGGGTGGCAGCAGCCGCTGATGACTTGGTTTCAGCCTTCTTTGTTTACTGATATGGTTGCAGCATTTTCACTCACAGGGCAGTATTTTCGTTCACAGTGCTCCCCCTTGGTCCTAAATTCGACCAATATTTTGGGAGACATTTCGTGACTAATTTTGTCCCACGGTGCTTGGAAGGCTCATTCCTCGATCAGGTGAAGAATCTGTTGACATGCCACTCAAAGTGCCAGTTTTGGATCAGGCCCTGTTGATATTAAAAGTTCTCTGGATCACCTGTCTTACTAGTCTATTATGATCCAGGAGATGTTTACCCCTGGTTGCTCATCCCCATACCTAGAATCACACTATTACAATTATCTTATGCAGGGCTATACGTTTTATCTATTTTCTCAAGATGTTTAGCCATCATCAATCTTGTTGGAGGCCTGGTTACACACTGGGAAATGGAAGAGACAACAATTTTATAAAATAGACAGGATGTAAGTAATACAGTTAGTAACGCTACTAAAGTCACAAGTAAGGATTTAATAGTTGAGAAGTTACATTTTTGGGTTAATATTTTGCTTGTGTTTCTGACTGAGCTTGAGTGATCTTGTAAGAAAATTCATATTCATGGTCAGGCTCAGAGCAGGGATTATTACTTGGCCAGGTGAGGTCTCCCACCTTGTAATGGCAATAGTGGCCTAAACAGAGCTATCATTCCTTTTTAGAATAAATTTTCTGAGGGCTCGCTAGTTAGAGCCTTGGAGTGGGGAAACCCACCAAGGCAACACAGAAGTACTGGACATGGGTAATTTACCGTGAACCTAACAGTTGGATTAGTTTATAAGCAAAGGTGTGAGCAAACATCAAAGTGATTGGTATGCAGGCCTGGTCCGGTGTCTCGGGCCAGCTGTCTACCTCAGGTGTCGTCTTCTTCCCATGCTGGCCTGGTAGCTTTTTCTTCATTTGAGCGTTGCTTTAAGGAGAGCAGTGCTCTATAGGCCAGTGCACTGCAGGGGCGCTTTCTGACTGGAAACTAATCCGAAAGTCAGCTTCCTTTAGCTTTCACTGTGCTTGGTCTTGTTAAGAGTACCTGGTAAAGGTCCTTCCATTCAGGTTGGAGACAGTTCTTTAAGTCACGTCTGTTCTAGTGTGTGCAGCCCCCAGGCTGCAGGTCACGGGGCATCGGATCTTTACCCAAGGATAGACTATTGAGCTTCAGAAGCAAACCTAGAGTGTCCTTTTAATAATTCAATTAAACTTCGCAGCAATGTAACATTACAGTAAGGAATGATTTGGGAAGTGTCTTAGTAAATATAGTCCTCAATTAACAAAACTAGAATTTAATATAATTATAACCATATTCGTCAGTTTACTCAGTCCCATGTAACTAATCCGTTTGTTAACAGTTTTATGAAATCAGAGTTTTCATTAGACCTTTAAAATTTCTTACCCAGTTTATAGTTCAGTGCTATAAAGCATTTTGTAAAATCATCAGACTAAAACAATAACTGTCTATAAATGACAAAAGATTTAACAGCATGGTTAAACACCGTTACACTGTAATCGATAAAGAAACCTGGTCACAATAACCAGAATTATGACTGGTAACATTTCAGATATACCAGGATTTTAGGGTGTCCATACAAATTCTAGAATATCTATATTAATAATATTTTCTCATACAATATAACCTAGGAAGATTTATTATTCATTTGACAATACCATGTTATTTATCATACCAAGTGAAATTTACTAGTTTAAAATCTCTCTTTGGGATGTTTCAGGGGCCCTCTGTAGCATCCCAAAGTTAGCTGGAGATCAAAAGAAATTTAACCAGAAATTGATATTTGGGAAGCTTGTTAAAAGGTTTCAAAACACTTGGTCAGATAAAAGTATAGATTACTGT